AAATGAATTGGAAGTATGTTTGGGGATTCGGGATGTTTCTAATCCACCCTCAGAGAAGCACATATATTATTAAATTCCTTAAGAACAATGGGTATTAAGAGCTTCCCGCTCTTTTCAACTAGCCAAGTCATACTCTTTCCTAGAGGGAGCTCCAGGATGCCTACAGTGCAGAGCAGACTTCAGGGCCACATTCAGAACAGGAACCTACGAATACTGGCCATGGCACCCAGGGTCCTTTAGGAGATACGTGTTGGCAATACTAGCCTTAGAGGCTAAGAATAGAGGTGACCTTACACCCAAAGCTTCCTTTGTCGACTTAAAGAGCTATCATTTATGAATGTCTCTAAATCCTTCTTGAACATTTTACTTTGAATCCACATCACCTCTCAAGGTAGTAAGTTCCAGAACCACACTACCAACTTTGTCAGGACATGCTGCCTTGGATTGTATTAAAGCTGTCCTTCTCAAATTTCAAAGGAAAAAACACATTCAGAAGATGTCGTCTTAGTCAAGTATTTCAGGATTTGGGCAATTTGTTCTCATTCTAGCCATACTTTTCATTAGAAAATGTTCAGGGGAAGAATTCCTTACAAGAAAAACAAAATACGTGTACAAACACAACTAGCCTTTTGAGTGACAGAGACTTTACAGGCTTTGCCCTCTGAGAACAGCCTTGGTCGTAAAGGTGGCCATCTGGGTAGCCGTAACAATCCTATTTACGAGCTATTTTAATTTTTAACTTGCAGTGGCTCAGGAGAAAAGTTTCTAAAGAGCAAAGATCCAGGCAACCTGTGACTAGCGTTTAAAAACTTTAGGACACTCTCGTTTAACATCAAGTATTACTGTTTTATCTTCTTTTTAAAATAACCTTTGCTTAAAAGAAATACCTCTATAAATAGGAACTAGGTTATCTTTTTCTTAAAGAGCCCTCCAAGAGGTGCATTTAATACCATACAATTTGGAGGCCTAAAAAGATTACTGACTAATCTTTTGTGAGGTCAAGGATTAAAGGGCAGGGAGTGGAGAAACTCCTATGGTTGATTCTCACTCTGAAGAGATAGGTCATAAAAAGACCTGATGACTCGGGATAAAAACATATAGCTCCTCTCCAAATAGAGAGTCCCCGAAAGTGGAGTATGAGGGTAACAAATTTAAAAAAAGTTTACAAATTTTGTAACACTGTCAAGAGCTCACTGCTTCAAGGGGACCCGGCTGCTAATATAGCGGTTTGTAAAAGCCACGTGTTGCTCGGTTGTTTAGACAACTTTAGTTGCCGTTTAAAATTAAATGCCAGATTTTCTCCGTGTGCCAGTTCCATCGAAGGAAAACAGACAACCGTGAAATAATAACAGATGACAGCTAACGTTGGCTCAGTGGTTTTCCATAAGGAAAATGCTTAAAAACAGTCACAGGTCTAAGTAGAAGGTACTGGAATGTGTCCCCCATCAGACAGTGAGAAATAGATATCTGGTGGTGTATGTGGCAGAATTACACAATCAAACACATATCATAAGAATGTAAATTAAATATAAGCTTCATAAAAGCTGAATCTGTAATGTTGTTCCCACTACTGTCCTCCACACAACGATGGATAGACAGCTGAATCAAACACATCACAGTATCACTTTACGATTTTACCAGACAGAAAGGAAATGTAGAGGACAGGCGTTCTTTAATTTAAATTCAAACTGATGCCCCACAGTAACACTGGCAGAATTAAGAAATTTGTGAGATACTGGGTGGAAGGAGTGTTTTCCTTTTACCGTCTCATCGTTAGTGGTCAAAGAAAAAAATTCAGAAGACTGCTGAGAAGAGACAGAGATATAAAAGGGAAAGAATGGATCCAAATGAGATGATGGTGGCAGGATGGAGCGGAATTGTGCTCAGCCTGGAAGCTAAGAGGGCATGAGAAAAAGAGAAGCTGGTATTGGTAAGCACTGACTGGATGCTGGGCATTTCATCTTTACAACCCTTGAGAAAGAATTATTATCCCACTCACCCCCCTTTTTAACTAATGAAGAAAATAACTAATGAAGGAAGTGATTAAATAACTTTCCCCAGGTTACAAAAGGAGGGAAATTTGAATTTGAACCCAGGCATGTCTCCAATACCCTTGTGTTTACTACTATTTTGAGCTGATTTTCAGGATACTGACTGATGAGTAAAGAAGAAAGCAACTTTAAAAATGCATAAGGATCTTTTTTTGGATTTAAGAAAAATTATAAATATCTTGGAGATTGTCCTTCTGGTCCCTACTCAACTCCACTGTAAAACCTATGCAGGCCAATACTGAAGGCTCAAAAATCCTCCACCACAGGCAGCTAAGAAGCATAATGCATTCTTGCTGCACCCACCTTGACCTCCTGATATTTATAAATGTAAGAGATTTATAGTCTTTCCCATCCTTGAACCTAATGATATTTCTAACATCTTATATTACAAAAAAATACGTCCATGCTAAAAAGTTTTATAAGAAGCCATTTCTCTTTGTGACTCTGGAGCTGAAACTCAATAGGCCTTCCTTCATACAAGAGCTGTTGTCTCTGAAGATGCATTCCTGTGTGTGACATCTTGAAAAAGAGTCACCATGCAGCACAGTCTCCAAATGCCAGGTGACAGACCTTCCTATCCCATCTGCCTATAAGTACATTCCAGCAAGAGTTGTATTTTACATGGCAGTATCTTGTAAATTCCCTGAATTCATTTGATAGACTTGCTTCTTCTAGTTAAGATATCTTGCAGGTACTCTGGCGGCTTCGATCCCTCCAAGGGGCTTCTTTTCATTTTCTCCTAAACCTTCATGGTAGTCAGTGTGATGGACCAGCCAGACCCCCCGCTGGGAATGAAGGACCTATTCTCCCACCTGTTGGGAATGCTGCTGGAAGATGGCCCTCAGCTGTCATCCTCTTTGGGGATTGTCTTGAGCTGAAAGAAACTGACTCTTCAAGGTCAGGCCTCCTTCCAGGGACGTCCTGCATCCAATGGCTGATCACTGAGTGGGTATAAGGCTCCACTCTCAACCCAGTGTGGGACAACTTCAGGGCTGTCCCAGCTCCAGAGTTTCCTCAGGAGCAGCTAAGGCCTTCGTTGGATCTACGTCACAGCTCAACTTCTCTCTCCGCCCAATCCTGCTTCCTCTTCCTTCCAGATGTGGATCCCAGGAACACTCCTAATGAGGCTCCTTCACTCTAACCTCCTGACCTCCATCTCAGAGTCTGCTGCCTGGGGAAGCAAATCTGCAACAACCTGTTCTGTCATAATGGGTCCCAATCCTAGAACGTCAGCTCACTGCTGTGTCCTTAACTTCTAGAACAGCGCTTCAGCACATGAGCAAATGGATAAATCACACACATAAACGAGTATAGGGCACTCAGTTAACCACCCCTCCAGGGACAAGTCTGTAGAGACCAATCAAGTCCTATTTGTCTTGGGAGCATATGAGCCTGAGCTGCCACAGAGGATTTGGTAAAAGCGGGCATTAACTGGTTAGTATGGACCCTCTAGGACCAGAACGGAGATACAAAGTAGCAAGTTTCCTTCCCCAAATTCAAAGCACTTGTCATACTTGGGATCATGGTCTGTCCCAGGAGGAGACGGAGAAGGTATTATTTCAGTTCTCTATCAATAGAGGCCATGGTGCAAAGGACGTTAAGAGATTTGCCTCAAGTTGAACAAGAAAACAAATGTGAAAGGCAAGAAGAGAATTCAAATACCCTGACTCCTAATGCACTACACCCTCATCTGATGAATACCTCAATTTTAGTCCATCACCACATGCACAAGGTCGCCTTTAGACTGTACTGAAGTTAGCCAGATCAAGTTTAGAAATACTCCTCTATATCAGAGCAGCACTGCTTCCTAACAATGCCTTGGAGAATATACTCCACTAAGTTACTGGAGTATTAATCTATACATCTTTTCTACATATTCTTTTAACATGTCTTTTAATGTTTTTTTAATTAAAAAATTAGTCCCAAATTCTCCATTCTTAAGGATTTGTAGGTTCTCCGACATTCAGAGAGTAATCTGAAATATATTTTTCTTTTGGTGACTCAATCAAATACTATTTATTACATACTACCATGGTGGTTTAAAAAAAGAAAATATGCAAGTACTAGGAGTCTATAAAATTCTTTCATTACTATTAACTGCCCTCTATACCATATATATCTTTCTCATATTCAGTGTAATTGGGGTTAATTTTAGGGCTCAGTGTATCTGAAGGAAATTCGTGCTCCCATTAGCAGTTGGACTAAGATAAACAATAGATCATATTAGGGAGGCCCAAAGTTAATTCTCTCCTGTCCTTCCCTCTGTGAATAGAAAGGTCTCAATCCTGAAAGATGGGTATCCTGAAATGCAAAGAAGGCAAAAAGGTCATCTTTTAACTCTAGACTCTTCTAGAGTTAGTGTAGAGAGTCTACACTCTTTTAACTAAAGACTCTTTTTGTAAAAGTTCGAAAACCTTGTTGATGCTATGGAAGGGTCTGGATTCTGAGAGAAAGGGATACAAAAGCATTTATATTTGTAAAGGAGTTAAAAATATGTGTTAAAGTGAATTTGTTTTTACCCTGGAAGGAAGAGGTGTACTAGGGTTCTCTTTTCGCCACACCTTCACCGACACTTGTTATCTCTTGTTTTTTTGTAATAGCCACTGTAACAGGTATGAGGTGATATTTCATTATGATTTTGATTTAAACTGACAGGCAGCAGTGTCCCTGCCTGGGTCTGTTACCTTTGGGCTTGGTCCTCTCTGCGTCTGAGCAGCCAAGTTATTGGCTACAGTGAGAGACTCGCTTCACTGCTGAGGGTAATGCTCTGTTATTTGTGCAAAATTTAAGGTGATTAAAAATGAAACGCCACTTCACAAAGCAAGTATTCCAAAACAGCAAGCTAGTCAACCCAAAAGGATTTTATAAGATATTCCTTAAAGGGGAGGGAGTTGGGGCAAAATCAGCCAATGGAAACACACGCAAGCATCAAAGAAAACCATCACTCACCAAAGTGAAACTTCTGGAGCGCGAACTGCTACTTCGGCTCTCCAAACTGCCCCCTCTGCTCAGGTCGCTGAGCCCGCAGCTGGGTGACAAGTCAGAGTCCATCTCCGAAGAGTCTGCTTTCTGGTGGTATATCGGCATCCCCACAGAGACCTCGGCCGCCGGCGTGATCACAGGAAGTGGGGAAGGGGCCAGGCTCCCATTCCAAAGTCGTGGATTACTCTAGAGAAATCAAGCACAGAGTGACAAGTGAGACCAGGCTGTAAATGCCTTATCTCCCCAAAACGAAAGGCTGAGCATGAGTCAGAGTCATCTAGATTCACAGCCCTGACCACTAAGACCAAGATAATTAGGACCCCTAAGTCAACTGTTTGGTGATGCTCATTTCCATTTCTCTTTTATATCCTTCTCCATTATGAAGACGTAAGAATTATTTCTGAGGAAAGATGGATGTACTAAAAATTACTTTGGTGCTGGAAATTTGGTAGAATAATGTTTTGGCACTTTCCTTTGCACTTAGAGTCTGTATTTTCACACTGAGACTCAGGCTTTCCCTGCACTGTTTATTAATCCCAGTCTTTTCTGCCTCAGACACCACAAAATTATGGTTCCTTTTGCAGCGTCATTACATTTCAGAGTTGAGGTGAAGTGACAAGAGCTAATAAATTACTAATGGAGGTTTGGTTGACGTCTCCAAGATTCTAGACTCTTTGGAAGCTGGGATGCTACTGCAATTTCTACATAAAATACTAGGGCACCATAAGTCAATACTATGCGGAAGTTCATGTTTTTACTTCAGGAACAAAGACGTTGAAATTGTCCCCTTATAAGCCCCTTAGTTTCATACAGTCCTCTGACTCTTTTATTAGGAAATTCAGCTCAGTCCCAGAACAACAGACAATTGAGTTTAACAAAACCTTCTAGAAGACCAAAGAAGACTAATAGGGAATAAGGGCATAAGCCTCCTGTTGATTACATAAGACCTGCTATTATGGCAAGTGAAGGATAGATGCTCACATCCTTCCTAAACTGAAAATGTGGCCAGGTAGCTTTATGAGCCCCTTTAAGAATACTGAGGGGCACATGAGCTAAAATAACCATAGTTATTTTAGGGTATCTGTGTGTATACAATGCCCCCATTTGGGGTGTGTATATTAATTTTTAATAGAAATATGACCATTTGTGGAAAAAGCCCAACCAGTAAACCACTGTTCCCAGGAAAGAGGGGGATGTGGGGTTGTAAGTCTTCCCCCTACACAAGAATGAGATGAAAGATGGGGCAGTGAAATACTGACTCTCCCCTACACAGTGCAGGGACCCCGTGGGCCTGCCCCGTCGGCGGGAAAGGATTTGGAATTCTGCTACAGGTCTGCGCGGTCAGAGCAGCACTGAGGCCCCGACAGTGTGGTCGGAGGGCAGTAATTTACCCTACCGTTCGAGAGTACACCTTTTCCTTGTGCTTCTATAATTTTAAAAGCTACTCTGACCTGTAAAACTATAGTATTTAGACTTTTACAAATTATTATCTTGAAAGAATATGAGAAAGCTAATCAGAATTCTCCAGAAAGCAGAAGTTGCAGGGGAGAAAGTGAAAACCTTGGTTCAATATCCTTCACAGGATCTAGCCGTCAGTCTTTGATCTCTTAAGGAATTGAGAACTAGGGGCTCCTTAGTCCTGGTTCCCTAGGAACTAAAAAATACAGAAGTCCATGGGAGGCCCACTGTGGCGGGAGCAAAGTTTTCTGAAGAGGAAGGGCAAGGAAGCAGCCTTCTTCTCTGGTCTGCCCTGGAAAGGGAATACAATGAAATAAAGAGCATGAGACCAGGAGAGGCAGGTTTGACAGTAGTGACCACAGCTATGAGTCCAGGAAGGTAGCCCCACCCCACCAGATGAAGACACTGACATCTACCAAGGAAGTAGAAGCGGCACTAAGAAGTCACCACAAGCCTAATGCTACAGGAGCAGGAACAGGCGCTCATTTTCTGTTTATTCTCTTACATTTCCTGTGTTTATTTCTCATTATTCACTAGCAATAGCCTTTTCTGGTAAAGTCTAGTTTACCAGTTGAGTAAAGAGAACAAGGAGAAGGTCACAACTGATGTACAGTCTTAGTAAATCCACATCTGCCGGGATGGCTGGTCAGGACAGCAGCTCTCTGGGTTGAAGATCCTGGTGGATCTGGTGGGGCTGTGGTAGTCAGGCAAGTGAACCCCCTGAACTGAGTACACTGGAGAAGAAGTACTCCAGTAGAGAGGAAGGAAGCTCCTCTTCTTCATCTTCCCCTGTACATTCCAGAAAGACCTAGAATGACCTAGATGGTATGCATAAAGCCCTCCTTCCACCATTGCCTCACTCCAGCTAAGTTCCAGATCACCAGAGTCAGGTCAACAGAGCAGCCCAAGTAACTAGGTCTTTCCATCATTCGCCAAACCCCAAAGCTGAATTATGCTCGTCAAAGACCCATCCACAGGCACAGTGGCTTTCAGCTTCGTCACACCAACAGAGCTTTGGAGACATCTTTGACTCCTCCCTCTTCCCACCACTCACAATCAACCAGCTGCCAGCCCTGCGGATCTTCCTGCGCAACGTCAGTTGTGTCCACTTCCATTCTAGTCTCACTCCCCAGTTCAGGACCATTTTACCCCCTGCCCACATTACTGCAGCAGCCACCTAACTCTTCCATTCTCCTCTGGACTTCTGCTGTATTCTTCTGCTGGATTAATCTTGAAACACCACTTTGACGCCACCACTGTCCTAAAAGCAATCAACTTTAACCCACTCTCCAGAGGCTTCAGAATCCAAGTTTCATCCTATCAACCAACATTTGCTTCAATTTGAGCCCCCTCCTTTCTAGCCTAAGCATATTCTTTTCATGTTTACTGTTCTCCTACTTCACACTGAGCAGATTCTAGGTATTAGGGAAAGACAGAGGAGTAAGAGTAATCTCTTTCACAGAGGAACTTGATCTAGGCACCAGATCTCAACCCACCCATGAATCAGAAACTCTCTGGACTCAGACCCAGACCTACTGAATACATCTCTGCGGGTAAAGCCTGAGCATGTATTTTTTTACAAGTTCCACAAGTAGGGGCCAGCCCGGTGGTGTAGTGGTTAAGTTTGACGCACTCCACGTCGGCGGCCCGGGTTCGGTTCTCAGGCACAGACCTACACCACTCGTCAGCCATGCTGTGGCTGTGACCCACATACAAAATGGAGGAAGACTGGCACAGATATTAGCTCAGGGCTAATCTTCCTCAAGCAAAAAAAAAAAATTAAAAAAAAAAAGTTGCACTTCTGCCATGTAGCACCAACTCTAATGGAAAATGGATTTGCAGACTGTGTTCCATGCTGTTTCAGGAAAGATGGGAGCACAGAGGAAGGTGGGCCAATGTGCCTGGGAGGGTTCAGAGACTTCACGGAAAAGCTACAGCTAAGCCAAGCCCTAAGAGATGTTTAAGATTTAAGGAGACTGCTGGTTAAACTGTGATGGGCATTCCCAGTGGAGAAAAAGAATAAGCGAAGATAGGGAAGCACACGGCCTGTCTGAAAGTGGTGAATGGCGAGGGAAGAGCAGGGGACTTAGCAGAGCACAGTACAAAACGGGTGGGAGAGGGGCAGAGAGAAGCGCAAATAGAGGGAGACGGCGAAGAGGCCCAGAGCCAAGAGGCTCTGAACTGTGAACCTCACCCGCAGGGCACCGGGAGCCAAGGACGGCTTCTACCCAGGGGGGTGACACAATCACATTTGTGTAGAAAGATAACTCTGGCAACAGTTGGATGGCAGAGAGAACCAGGGGAAGTACTTAGAAGCAACTGGGATAACTGAATACCACGTGCTGTTTAAAGGAAGAATGGGGCAGCTCAGCAATCTCCAAGACGCATGGGGTGTGTGGACAGAGCAGGGGAAGGAACAGAGTTTAGTATACTTCCACCTGTCCAGGGAAACAAGGGAGGAAATAGACATGTTTATGCTTTTATGTGCAGAGAATCTCTCTAGAAGGATACACAAGAAAAATGCTAACAATGGCCGCCTCGGGGGAGGGAAGAGATGGATGGGAAGGAGACTAGGGTGGGAGGTCACACTTTACCAGAGGATCTTTTCTATCTTTCGAATGCCGCACATCTCCACTATTCCATAAATAATCTATTTAAAGAGTAATAAAAGCAGTCACCAAGTTACTTTAACGGTTCACATAAGAGATGATAGAGTTGAAAACCCCTGTGGCTGGAAGGTTAGAACTGGAATGATGCTAGAGATTAAGGAGAAAGAATCCATGAAATTTTGCCCTAACAGTCAGGGCAAGAGAGTATTTCAAGAATGAAAGAGAGGTTGACGGTGGCCACAGAAAGGTGAAACAGAATAACGACTGAAAACCATCCCTGGAATTCGTCGACATGGCTGACCTTATAAATAAGGATCGGTGGAGAGACTGGCTGGGAAGGGAATGGGAGTGGGGGAGGTGGACGGTGAGGGCTTTAGAATGTGGGTTGTGACAGGAAAGAGACAGAGGAGGCAGCAGCTACAGAGGACAACAGGGCTGAAGAAAGGCTTTTTGAGTGATTTTTTGATTTTGTTGCCTTATTTTGTTTTGTTTTTAAGAGTAGGAAAGCTTGAGCCTACTAATTAGCTAAGGGGAAGAGCAGGAGAGAAGAGAAGGTAACAAACCCACAGAGAAAACTTTCTTTCTAGCACTCTGGGGACTGGACCGCCTGGCTGGCCGTGCTGCTGAGATAAAATATGATCTTTTTAGATGCTGGATAAAATCTGAAAAATATCGTTGTCTCCTCTCTCTTCCAAGGACTGGCAGAAGGAAACTGTACCATCATAAAAAATGACCAGGGTAATTTGAAAAAGAACCAAATGGAACTTTTTAAAAAGAAAAATTTAATAACAACTAAAAAACTTAGTGAATGGGATAAACAGAAGATTAAATTCAGCTGACGGGAGAAGGAAGGAAGGAAAACAGATCTGCAGAAATCTGTTATTTATCCAGAATGTAGCACAGAGACAGATGTGAAAAATCTGAAAGACGGGCTCAGGACAGAGCACAGAGTGAAAAGGCTTATGTTTATGTTTGTGGTTTATGTTTAACCAGAGTTCCAGAGGGGAGGAGAAATAATGAGGCAGAAGTAATGTTTAAAGAGATAATGGCTGAGAATTTTCCAGAATCGATGAAAGATACTCTACGGGACATTTTGGGTTTGACAGATCCCCCCTCCCG